ATGAGTTTATATTAACTGTGTCAGATCCACAGCAGAATGCACTGAGTTTATATTAACTGTGTGTCAGATCCACAGCAGAATGCACTGAGTTTATATTAACTGTGTGTCAGATCCACAGCAGAATGAGATGAGTTTATATTAACTGTGTGTCAGATCCACAGCAGAATGCACTGAGTTTATATTAACTGTGTGTCAGATCCACAGCAGAATGAGATGACGGCGCTGGTGGACAATGACACGAGCTTCATTCAGGAGAGAAACTCCAGGACAGCTCAAGTAAGTGCTGCACTTCACAGCCTATATCTGCTACCCTTCTCTGCTGAGTGTGTAATGAAGGCAGGTCTCAGAGCAGCTTCACTGAGGGAAATGGGTGGATCAGGAAGCAGTGTCTGCTTTTAAAACTCTTCACTTACTGGAAATACAGCACAGCCCAGGCTTCTGCTCTGTGATTGGAGACCAGAGCAGATTTCTTCAGACTGTTGTTGACCTGGAGTTTGTGAACACAGATGCTTCTAGCTGCTCACCTGAGGCTGATTTTGTGTGGCGTAGAGCGGGTCATCATCGTATAACGGTCAGATTATTCCTTCAGGTCAGCAGCTGTCATGGCACAGCAGAAGCGTGAAGACAGTTTGTTATTCAGCTTTAACACAGGCGCACATTAAGCGAGGTCAGCTGGACCGTTCTTTGGCAATACTCTGGCCAAATGCTCACGCAGAGTTTGCATACTTGCTTAAAGTATGTTTCTGTCATTATTCAGCACATACTCAGAACAGTCTCTGTCCGTATTAGAAACACAAGTGTGATTGGCTCATTTTTAATTTTCTTAATCAGTTTTGTTTCAAAGTAGGTGACCAGATTTCTGAAATTTCAGAAAGTTCAGTTGTCAAACATTATTGAAATCTCTTTTTTTTTTATTATCAATACTTGACCGCACATGTTTGTATGTTTTTTTAGCTAATTCTTGTGGGATCCATAATCTGTTGTTAAAATTAATAACTATTATGGTGTTTGCAGGTTTTGCAGTCCACTAAAAAATATTAAAATTAATTACTGTATTACAAATAGCAATTATTAGAGGTGCTCCGATCAGGATTTTTGAGGCCGATCACAAAGCAGTATCTGCGGATACCGATCTTTTTAAAGCCTTATTTTTATCATGTAGTATTATTTATAGTGATACTCCAATCAGGTATTTTAGACATTTATTCAGGGCCTGTATTTCATTTTTGTGACTCTTGTGAGGGGATTTTTTTTATTTAAGGGGTGGAGGGGAGCTTCTTTTTTTTTTTTACATTTTTCAAAAATAGATATTTATCTCGCCTAAATGTTTGATCATGCTGTGCATTTTTGTTTTTACAATTGTGCAATTATTGCACAATAGTTTACACACAGCACAAAGTTGCTCAAGCAAGCATTTCAAATACTTTTCTTAAGTTATCACAAACATTTTAAATTAAAACTTGGCATTGACAGAAACAGTCAGCTCTACTGCCTTTTTTTAAATTTTTTAAATCTTTATTACAAGCAATCCTGCGGTTCATAAAGAACTTTGTTTTCCTTCCTCCACGAGTGCCATCTATTATTGCCTTGTTTATCTAAAAGTGCTCTTTTCCTTTAAACCCAACCAAAAAGCCATATGTGTTGACTGTGAAACACAGTAGACTTTAATTATATGCATTTATGGTGTAATTACTAAATTTTCGTTTTCATATTTACTGCAAACAATGCGCTGTCACTTTAATTCAGCGCGTGCAGCAAACTCGGCGTGGAAATGATCTCTGCTCTGCTGCAGACGCACCGCTCCTGAACGCACTGCCGGACTGCAACTGTGTGCTGTGAATGCATCCGTTAACATGAGCGCGGAAAAATGCACACCACATATGCACTGCAAACGGAGTAATGTGAACCTGGCGTTATGTGTGTGTGCTGCGAGTGTGCATGAGCTCAGTTTCCAGGAGAGCGCGCAAGCGCTGAATGCTTAAACACTGGCAAGAATTAAAAAGAAAAGCAATTTATAAACTTTAGTGATGATGTGCCTCGATTGTGCAAGTGACAATTCCTGTTAACTGTGCAGCTCGCTTATAGACAGATGCGATGTGTGGTGATTTGCGCATTTTGAGAGAGAGAGAGAGAGCGTGCGGTGATTCACTCATGCTGTTTGTGAAATTATGTCTCACAGAAAGTTTTCAAATTACTTAGTTATTTAATGAAGAAATATGAATTGTACCTCACCTTCAGCATTATAATTATTTTACCCATCGTCAGCTTGAGATCAGCCTTCTTAGAGAGAATCAAACATCCCAAAGTGATTATCGGCTGATAGTGATCGGTAGCCCATCAGTCGGAGCACCCCTAATTTTTACTGTTATCATTATCGACCGATAAGAATATTTGGGTGATATATTAAATCAGATAAATAATGCATTATTTCCTTCAGAGACCCTTCAGATGCACACTGTTTGCCGTGATGGTTTTTAATTGCTTGAAATATGATTGGAATCACTTTGAAAAGGAAAATACAGTGAAGTGCAACGTTCAGGGCAAGTCTGTCATAAAGGCTACATGAAATTATATTAAGAACATTATAGTAAAATAATGTTGCACATGTTTTAGCGCATTGTTACGGGAAGAGTGCATCCGCAACAGAGCTACACCTTCATGACTAGCACGGTTAAGTTCGCTTGTGCATTTGAAGCCTTTTGTGCACTTGTACATTGTAATAGTTTATTTTATGTATAGATATCTGATATGTCACATATATAATTTAAGTTAATAGAGTGCTTCAGTTTACCAGTGATCATCTTTAGCTCATTGTTGATCAAACAGCAGCACACAACATTAATCATTATGATTGGGACTGTCATATATAACATTATAATGAGAACACTATTGTATTAAAAAGATGTATATTCTTTGGGTTTATTTGCCGTTGCAGCTGTCGCTGGACAGAGAGATCGATGATCCGGAAATCCACTGAATAGCTAAATCATCTAAATGTTAGTACGCAGTAGGGATGCAACGATACTATTTTTTCAGAACCGATCTGATACCGAAAATTATGAGTATCTGCCGATTCGATCTGAGACCAGCGCAGTTTTTTTTTTTTTTTTTTTTTAATCAATGTAGAATTTCCATACTTCTGTGTGTTAAACACAATCTGCTAAATATAGACAACTTTATTTTAATGAAATATAACAAATGAAAAAATACATAATCATAGGCTCCGTCCACACGGAGACGCATTTAGCTGTATACACATCAATTTTGTATCGTATAGGCGTTTCGTCCACACGGATCCGGCGTTTTGGGAGAGTGAAACCGATGTTTTTTAAACCGGGTCTCAGAGTGGATAGATCTGAAAACGCCGCCTTTGTGTTTTCGTGTGGACAGTGAATCCGTATATTTTCTGAAACGGTGACGTCATCAGCCCACGTCTCGCCCCGAGTCAGACACCGCTACGTCACGTAACCGCAACAAAATTCTCTTTTTATTAGAGATGCACCGATTGCAATTTTCTTGGCCGATTCCTATTTTTTTTGTTAGTGTGATCTGCCGATTCCGATTTTCTTTCTAAGAACTATAATTGACAGCATATACAAACAAAAATGTAAAAAGTCAGTAATAAAATAACAAATAAAAAAATGGCAAACAACTGCCATACTGAATATTGGACTGCAGTCCCTTTAAGAGTTTATCCACAGACCCAATATACTGTTACACAACATGCGTTCTCTTTTTCAACTATTTAACGTTCCAAAACTGACTGTCTTTAACTGAATACTCGCCAAGACGGGCATTTTGACGGGAGAAACCAGGCTCAGTCGGGGGGCCAGTTCTCCTCTGACCAGACGAACCAGCAGTACAGAAAAATCAATATAAGACGTAATAAAACAGACGATGAACAATATTAACAGCAATTATTATATGATGCAATCAAACTTATAGCAAAATGCAATTCAAGCACTATTTAACCTGAGATGTGTGAGTGTGTGTGAGAGAGAAGGGGTCGTTGGAGAGAAGAGAGCGAGAATGCGCAGCTGATGTTAATACCTGTGCCGTTGGTAACGAAACGGATCGGCTCGAATCGGAAAGAAGTGAGACTGACCGACCGATCACCGATCATGAGGAAAATCGGCCGATTCCGATCCCTGGCCGACTAACGTTAACACAGATTAAATGTATTGTTCCATGTTAGTTTGTATACCGCACGCAAGGTTTATGTGCATAGTCCAAGTCTTCTCCGTTTTTAGTGTATCTCTGTGGCAGAATTACAGCGCCACATACTGGTCTGGCATGTATACTACATCGTTTTGTGTCGGTTTCGTGTGGATGCAGATATTTATTGAGACAAGGAGAAAAAAAAGATCGGATAGGGAAAGCTCTGGCTTCGTGTGGACGTAGCCATAGTCTATGACAAAAATACTATTATAAACTAGGTTAGTGGATAATTCGGTAGCAAAAGTTACTCTAGAAAATGGGTGCACAATTTGATAAAATCTAAACATTTAGTGAAACAACATTTTAGTATTATTTGAGCCTTTTCTTTTAACATTTTTAAACGCCAGAGCAACACATCAGAGCCCGGGAGGCCCTTCCAGAACACGTCCGGAGACGGACAGAAAGCCGGTCAGGCTCAGATCGTCATTCAGCCGCAGCAAGTGCTGCAGAGCGTCTCGGCCGGCGGTCAGGTGTTCGCCACACAGAGCCTGTCTCAGGACGGAGTGCAGAACGTTCAGATCCAGACCATCGCCAACGGCAGCCCCATCTTGATCCGCACCGTTGGGCCCAACGGCCAGGTCAGCTGGCAGACGCTTCAGCTGCAGAGCCCCGCTAACACCCAGATCACGCTAGCGCAGCCCGGGACGCTCTCGGGCCTGCAGACCATCAACCTGAACACGCTGGGAAACACAGGGCTGCAGATGCACCAGCTGCAGGGAGTTCCCATCGCCATCGCCAACACAGCCGGTGAGTCTGCTTCCGTTCTCTGCTCTTCTGTTCAGTCCCTTCTATAAACCTGAGTGATCAGTGCGTTTCAGGATAGCAGACAGTGCAGAGTGAAGAAATGGCTCTTTCCTGATGAGCAGTTACACGTCTTTGCACTTAGTTGATGTGTCATACAGAAAAAGTGTGTGTCCCAAACGCGAGGACCGCTGTGCAGTGTATCTGTCCCATCATATTTCTTTTTGTTTTGTTTTTTTGCAGTGTTGCGCATCATAACCAATCACACACGATTTTGTTGAGTTTTTGAATGCAGTGGCCAGTCAGAGGTGTTCAGATGTTCAACGCTGAAACAGTGGAGTTTTGTTGTTGAGTGCACGTGCTCGCTGACTGAATTCAGCTCTCTCACAATGTTTTTATTAACTTTTGATCATGTTAAATACAAAGTCAGTCATATAAAAAATATTTTATGACATGACATCCTTATGCCATTTCACTAAAAAGACAATGGGCCTCATTTATGAAACTTGCGTAAATATAAGAGTAAATTCAGAGTAATTTGCGTGTAAAACAGACCTTCCCGAAAACTCTCCTCCGGATTCACAAACGCTTCGTAAATGTCCGATTTGATAGTTAAATGTATATGTAATGAATTCCAACCATTCGTAAATGGGGCGCTCGTGCATGCTCATTCACGATTAGCATAATCCCCATGCGCCTATGAATTACAGCTATTAATTGTGTGTCAGGAACGCAGTGGAATATTCTGGTCTACTTTCTCAGGTTTGGTTCCAGTGTATTGCATAAATGCAAAAAAGACTAATATAACATGCCTAACAGTAAATATTCAATAACGTGTGTCCACCAAAGTGTTTTTAGACGGCTGAAAAATGTCAGGCACTCTTCTGCTATTAATTGTGTGTCAGGAACGCAGTGGAATATTCTGGTCTACTTTCTCAGGTTTGGTTCCAGTGTATTGCATAAATGCAAAAAAGACTAATAGGCCACATGCCTAACAGTAAATATTCAATAACGTGTGTCCACCAAAGTGTTTTTAGACGGCTGAAAAATGTCAGGCACTCTTCTGAAAATGACCAGTTGGTGGCGCTTGAACGCTTTGGTGGCACAGCGTTTTTCTAGCTGAGACGCTTTAGTTGCTATGATTTGGAATATCCACGGCAGTAATGTATTACTAGTATCTAATTTTGAAGAATATTACTGAATATAAAAATGCAGTAACCAGCAATATTAACTTCTCTATTGTTCAGTTGTTGTACAAGCAGGGTGATTGGTCGGTGTAGTATTTGTCCCGCCCCTCCTCCACTGATTGGACAGCTGGGTAAAAAGTGACAGTGACAAGCGCTGCGTTTTACCCAAAGCTAAACAGTTATCAACTCTCAGCTACAAAAAAATAGAGCAAACTAACTTGTAAAATATTATGATGGCAGTGCATCAAAATTCTTTCGTATAAACTAACATTTTGAAAATACGAACACTTTCATGAATCAGGAAATTTATGTCCGAACAGCTTTACGAATGATTTACACACAAATTGGTTCTGCTCGTGTTTCATGAATAAGGCACAATGTGTAGATTACACAAACATGAGGCTGCTTTTATCCATACCCTGAAGTGGGTTCACTCTCTGGCAATGAAACTAAGTAAATAAATTACCACAGTGAAATCCTGTATCTGCGTTCTCACAGGCTGGCGATTGGACGATATGATTATGGAGCATATCGCCCAACACTGGGGAAAATAGCTGGACAGGACTAGACCATTAACTGAAGTAGTGTGCCGTCTGTGTTTCCTTCAGCCTCTCTGTAAGCGATCTCAGAAGCTGCAGCGAGTATCTTGTGTGTCCACCAGCTGCTTTCACTACTACACTGCATCTCGCAGCTTCTCTCCACTCTTCACATGGACCATCAGCTGTCCTTCTGAGCTCTGTTTTAGCCATCTTACATTACAGACATCGCAGGTTATTGCTCTGGCTGCGTCTGTGGTCCTCACGCCTCCTGCAGCTGGACTGTGGCGTGTTCACGCAGGTCTCTTCTGCTGTTTTCAGAGTCAGTAAAAAGTTCTTTAATGTCATAAGTTATTAGAGTAATGTGATCAAATTGCCTGTCGTCTGTAAACCGTAAGCGTGTTGCACAGATTCCTTTTAATTCAGTTAAGTTAAATGCAAACTTTTATTTGGGAGGGTTGTCGTAAAGACCTTCTTTCTGTATCTGATGATAGTTTTCTCAAACGAAACCGTGAAATACTGGTGAATTGACGCTTAAACCCTCGTTTGCTGTTGCCTCTGGCCACGTCTCAGCATCCAGTTAACAAGCAAAGCAAAGTTCTTGATTTTATGATGTCGCATGTCTTTAGAATTGACCATTTCTAGTGAAGCACATAACACCGCTATGCAAACTTGTGTGCCATGTAAGACTGTTTTATTTCTAGTGAGCACACTGATGAACACCGTTTTCTCTGCTTGTTGTCCGATCAGGAACAAGAGCATTTTGAGTGCAAGCCGTGGAAGGCAGCTGCAGTGATCACTTCTGGCAGCTGTGTTATCTAGGCCTTGTCTTGCGAGCTGCTTGTCTGTGTGTGAATGCTGTGTTTGCTCTGCAGGAGATGTGAGCGGAGCTGCAGGAGACGGTCTGGAGGACAGCGGTGCGCTGGAGGAGAATGTGGAGAGCAGCCCGACGGCCTCCAGCAGACGCACACGCAGAGAAGCCTGCACCTGCCCCTTCTGCAAAGACGGAGAGGGACGGTACGCTACTCATTATCTCACGCAGACACAGGCTTCAAGCTTACACTACACTGCAGGACAGCGCCACATTCACCAGAAAGTGCTTTCTGTAGAGGATCAGTATACAGTATATTATAGGTTCAGCACTGTGTCTAGTCAAAATGTGCTTTGAAGTCTACAGTCTTTCTTGACCAAATAAATAGGCCTGAATGTAAAATAACACTATAGTGTTGACTGTATAAATACAGATTGATCCTTGTTAAAGCTGTGTTTTGTAGTTTGATTAGACAGCAGCAGGTATTTATAGACTGCTGTCACTTTAAGACCTGATGCATGGATCCAATATAATGATGCACTTCTGATTTCTGGAAGTTGACTTCACTGAAGATATCACCGACTGTGTTAACTGTATTATTTGTGTCCTTCGATTCTTGAAAGGTGTTATATAAACAAAACATTATTATTAACTAGAATACTTGATGGGATGGGTATTTTGACATTTAATTTTACTAGACCAGATCTCTATGGCCAGCTGTAAAATCATCTACTGCTGGATAAAATCTTTGTTAGATTGTCATCTCACCTGCTCTTCCTTCAGCAGTGACCCCAGTAAGAAGAAGCAGCACATCTGTCATATTCCCGGCTGTGGGAAGGTGTATGGGAAGACGTCTCACCTGCGGGCACACCTGCGCTGGCACACGGGAGAGAGACCCTTCGTGTGCTCCTGGTCCTTCTGCGGGAAACGCTTCACTCGCTCCGATGAGCTGCAGCGGCACAAGAGAACACACACAGGTGAGCTTCACACGCTTGCAGAGCTCACAGACACTTAACTGAGTGAGTGTGAGTGTGTGAGTGTGAGTGTGTGTGAGTGTGTGTGTGTGTGTGTGAGAGAGTGAGTGTGTGTGTGTGTGTGTGTGTAAAACAGAACGACACCAAAAGAAAGATGGAAAAAAACTGTGTGAAAGTGATATCGTAGTCTTCTTTTTAATAGTTTACTCACAAGCCATCATGCTTTCATGTATTAATCACAGTAAATAAGATGAAACAAAAAGATGTGATGCTTTTTGTACATAAGTTATATTTTTTCTAAGTATGGAAAACTGCAAATTCTGAAATGACCTTTGTTTTGTGAACGTATGAATTATGCAGTCTTAAATGTCAACATTTTTATATTACGTAGATCTTCCGTAACACATTTAGTATTGCTTCAGTTCGCTGTGTTGATATACAGAACACATTTAAGTTACAGGAAATACACGCGGTCGCTTAATGCTGATTGTTCTGGTTTTCTTGGTCGCTGTGGTCTTAATGTTTGGTTTGTAGGGAAAACGTTAACCGGTTCAAATACAGATGCCTTAAAGCCTTTACTTAGAGAGGGCTCTTTTATGAACTTGAGTCCAAACCAAAGCTCTACACTTTCCTTTACATGTTAACTCAGGTGAATGTTACTCTTTTGGTGTAAAGCATTCATAATTATTAAATTAAGATGAACTTCACAAAGACTCCTAGCAGTTATTTATGCTTTTCACTGTTTAAGGTGACATCTCGTATGTCTGTGCACATAAGACTGCATGTTATTTTGCAAACCATGAGCAGCTCCACTACATACTGTTAATCTCTTATTCAGTGTTCACATTGCTCTAAAAGCGTGGATTCAGGCCAGATAAAAACAACTGCTGTACTCTGAATTTAAGGCCAGAAACTACAGGTAAATACTCTGTGAAAGGACATAGGGATATACACCCAACTAAGTGTGTTTCACGAGTTGAGAACAACCCAAGACCACATCAGAAACATAGGATGGACGGGAAAGAGAAAGGTCCAAATAATGTGTATAGATGGAAATAATGGAATATACTGGAAATACTGTCATTAGAAGGCTTGTTTTCCACGCCTTGTATAGATCACTCAAGTTCACAAACTAATTAAAGAAAATAAGGACATGACCGTTGAGTAAATCAATTAGTAAATCAATACGTAAAACAAAAATACAGTAACGGTTTCAATATTTTTACAGATGATCAAAGCACCCAGAATCTGGTAAAGAATGAACAGCAGTATATGTTCCAAAGTAGCAGGTAGCTATCGAAGAGTTTCAGATAAAGTAGTTGTGTTTACAGTGAGTGGCAGAAGTGAGGAGAGACGGTAGTGCTCTAAAAACTCTGACATATGGTCATTACTGCAGACAGGATATCATATATATATGTCTTATTGACATCAGTGTGCATAATCACAGAAGTAATATTAATTTTCTTTGGATTCCTGCACATGTAGGAATAGAGCTTCTATTATAGAAGGAAATGAGATAGTGGACAAACTAGCAAAAAGCTCATTAAAATGCAGTCTTGTTAAAAAATCTGTTGGCAAGAAAACAAGGTATGAATGATGAGGTGTTGTAATATATAAAAGCAACAAGATTGTATTTGAAAATATAACAACGTAATTAAATAATGTTTATAATTTATTTAGTTATTATTGGTATTATTTTGTCTGATTTAGTGAGTCTTTCCTCATTGCTGTTCCACACTCAGTTCAGTTTGTGGCAGTAATGCACCTTAAAGCTGGTTTGCCAGCCGCCAATAAACAAGAAGATCACCTTCAGCAGGTAACACAAACCAAAGAAAAAGGAGAAGAAGAAGAGACACCATTCCGAGGCTTTCAATCTGTTCACGGGGTGTTCAAACAGTCTCACATGTTGAGGTAGGTTGATGTAGTGATATCAAAATGAGCTGCTGCTTAGGTTTATGCTCTTCTTTACATGGGATTTAAAACTCAAATCATTATATTTTGACACTAAAACTAATCAAAATGGCGGAAAGATAATAGTTGTAGTTTGTTTTGTATAATATTATATAATCATTGGAGAAAAAAAAACATTCATATAAGAACATTATTTAAAAAAAATTTTTTATGTCTATAGGGTTAAATATAGTTCAAGTGTGGTGCAAAAGCAGTGCTGAATAATGCATCCAGATTATAACATTAAAAATCATTTGTAAGTGCAGAAAATGTTTGTCTTTTATTAGTAATGTGATGATGTATTTCTGGGTGTTTGGTCACATGGGTGCAGGTGTGTTAGGGTTACTGGTTACTTAGCTTCTCAGCGGCTATAGGCTGTCAATGGTAGGCTACTAAAGATTGATGTAAACTACGTGCATAAAGTACATGTAAATGATATTTATTTCAAACTGTACAGTTCCTGTCTTCACTGCTGTAGCAAACACTCAAAGTTGAATAAACAGAGTTTTAAAAAGGTTCTTGAAAGACAGCTCACAATGTTTGCAATGAAATATTCTGAACTGAACTGCAGTTGTGCTGAATTGAGTTTAACTTGCTGTTTACAGTTTCCTATAATACCTTAAGTAGAGTGACCATACGTCCTCTTTTTTTGGACCTTAAAAAATGTGTCCGGACGGAATTTCTAATTCGCTAAACATGTCCAGAATTCGGCTTTTGCGTTCTACAGTCGCCATTCATTGTGTGCATTTTGTATATGAGCCCTGCACGGGACTGTTTTCTTAATCCCACTCCCTCTGAATTTCTGTCCATGAGACTATCCATCTGTTCCTCAAAAACATTCTAATATTGCATAGGCCTGCATCAGGGAGCCACTATCAATATGCAGAGTATTTAAAGGTCATGAACTTTTGACATGTAAGAGGTCATTGTACTATAAAAACATCCTGTAAGTTTCAGAACTCAAAACTTTCTCGTTACTCTAAAAACAGCTTATACTGAAACAGATCTGCCAAAACAGACAGCTTGTGGAATGTTCTACTCTATGATGTAATAGTGTGGATAAGCACCGCCTCCTCAGAAGATGATCAACACCTGCTTCCACAGTGACACTTCTACCCACCCACCGATTCTACAGCAGTCTGTTTAGCCCCGCCCACCGATTCTACATCACTGCTCCCACCCACAGCAACGGTAAAACCACCCACTCCCACAAGGTTTGTGTTGAGTCCCGCGAGATCCCCGTCCCAATGTAGCCCTCTATGTCCCTATCCCAAATGGCACACTTCATATGCACTTGTAGTCTTGCGGACTTACACTGGCCGCCGTGTGTGCATATCCGTTAAGTCCATGAGACCGTAGGGCATCCCATTCATCATTTTAGCTTCAGAAATGTGTGCCCTGGCGAGCGCCCGCTTTGCGCCCTCGATGCGCACTTCTTCCGAGCCCACACTGAGGCGAGCTCCACAGCAGACTTCTACCCGACAGTCAAAGTGGCATTACGTCACGAAAGTGTGGACTCAGAGGGAGACCGTGAGGGTTTAGAGTGCGATTTAGGACAGGGCCTATTTTGCATTTCTTTGACCTTTCTCTTTAGGTCCCACTTCTCGCATGCCACTATTGGTCAGTCATGTATGCAAACATTGGTCCTTCTGCCTCCTGCCCCCACTGTCCTCTTTTTTTGAAAGCTAAAATATGGTCATCCTACCTTAGGCCTCTACTTGGGTTTTACATTAAAAAATCTGACAGCAAGCTGGATGCATAAATGATAATTGAATATTGAAAATGAATAAATATTTAACACACACACACAGTGTGATTGAATGGCAGTTTATCTCTGCAGATGATTGTTTTGGCATTTAACAGTGTCTGTCTTGAACTGAGTTGAATTCTGTATATTTCTATACATTTCTATGATGCCTTTCACAATGGTATAAGGAAAACTGAAATCATGTATAGTTTGAATGATTTTGTGACTGGCATGTTTATGCAAAACAATATTGATCTTAAATTCAGTATTAACGAAAAAGGGAGAAGTGTCTTATTGAACAGAGCTGGACACACATGATCTGTTAAACTGAAAATATATAGACATATTTAGAAAAATATCTAGTATTTCTAAAGAACCTTTAAATAACTGTCTTTTTTGAGATTACAATGAAATATATTTGTACTTTATTATAAAATGGGGAAGGTAAAAGGTCTGCAAAATGAGTGTACTTTGATGTAGCTACTACAGAAACATTTTAACTCTGTTTTCTCACAAAAGGTCTGGAATAGATCTTTCAACAATCTTTTGGCAAATTACAGTAGGAGGACAGTGTCTTTAAAATGAGTCACCATAATGTCAGAGAAGATGAGGGCACTGCTTCTACAAAGAGTCCATCTCCTGGATCAAGCTGTGTATCTATGAAGGGTGATCAATCCATGAAGAAGAAATCTCCTAATCTCAATGAAGCAACTGTGACCTCTGACCCCAGGTAAGACACTGGCCATTTTAGCATTGACTGATTCTTCTATTCAAAGCGATTTACAGTGCAGTACAGAAGTGAGTGGTGAGACCATCACGGAGAAGCACTAAATCACTTACCTGTACTTTCACTCTCACTGTTCCTCACTGGTGAAATGTTCTTCTCAACTTCCCCAAACAGTCAAGCCCCATGCAATTTTCAAGAAGTGTCTAAATATTTTTCTATGAGCCCTTGACTAAATCCTGTTAAACCAATAGCTCTCCCTTTTCTAATAATGTATGTATTATTGAAAATAAATGCTTTCCTCTACTTTCACCATTTCTTACCTTCATGTCTTTTCTAGTGTGTACTCTACAATTTTGGAACGTTGTGTTGTAGCAATTCTTATGTTATTTTCTCCGTTAAATGAATTGGTTGTCATCTTCCTTATTTGTAAATTGCTTTGTATAAAAATCATCTGCATCTGCTAAATTAATAAATATGTGTAAATCTATGGTTCATTCAAGTTATACAGTGTCACTAGTGCTCTAAAAATGTTTATTTGTTTTTATTGTCAGCATCAGCAGAAGGGAGAGATGGAAATCAGAATCTCCAGAACCCAGCTGTGTGTCCAATGGGCCAATGACCTCTGACCCTCCGTTAGTATAAATAGATATTTGCAATTTTACTGTAGAGCATCTCGCATGAATAATGACTTAAGACTCAATGGGCCTCATTCATGAAACATGAGCAGAACGATTTTTTGTGTAAATCGTTCACAAAGCCGTTCTGACGTAAACTTTCGAATTCATGAAAATGTTTGTTGGTACGAAAAGAAATGTACGCCTGCTCTTTATCAGGTGTAAATGGTACGTTAAACATTCTGTGCTCTCTTTGGCAAACTGATGACACTGAATTTTGATGCACTGCCATCATAATTACAAGTCCAATTGCCCTTGCCCTCTTTTTGAATTTTTTGTTTTGTTTTGTTTTGTTTTTTGAGTTGATAACTTTAAAAGGCAGCGCTTGTCACTGTCACTATTTACCCAGCCGTAAATAGAGGACGGGTGGGACAAATAGTGACCAACCATCCTGCTTGTACAACGACTGCCTACAACAATGGAGAAGTCAATATTACTGATTACTGCATTTTTATATTCAGTAATATTCTTCAAAATTAGATACTAGTAATACATTACTGCTGTGGATATTCCAAGTCATAGCAACTAAAGCGTCTCAGCTAGAAAAACGCTGTGCCACCAAAGCGTTCTCAAGCGCCACCAACTGGTCATTTTCAGAAGAGTGCCTGACATTTTTTCAGCCGTCTAAAAACACTTTGGTGGACACACGTTATTGAATATTTATTGTTAGGCATGTGGCCTATTAGTCTTTTTTGCATTTATGCAATACACTGGAGCCAAACCTGAGAAAGTAGACCAGAATATTCCACTGCATTCCTGACACACAATTAATAGCTGTAATTCATAGGCACATGGGGATTATGCTAATCGTGAATGAGCATGCACGAGCGCCCCATTTACGAATGATTGGAATTCATTAACATAAACGTTTAACTATCAAATCGGACATTTACGAAGCGTTTGCGAATCCGGAGGAGAGTTTTCGGGAAGGTCTGTTTTACATGCAAATTACTCTGAATTTACTCTTATATTTATGCAAGTTTCATGAATGAGGCCCATTGAAAAAAAACACAAAATTTATTCAAACCCCAAACAGTCAAGCCCCATGCAATTTTCAAGAAGTGTCTAAATATTTTTCTATGAGCCCTTGACTAAATCCTGTTAAACCAATAGCTCTCCCTTTTCTAATAATGTATGTATTATTGAAAATAAATGCTTTCCTCTACTTTCACCATTTCTTACCTTCATGTCTTTTCTAGTGTGTACTCTACAATTTTGGAACGTTGTGTTGTAGCAATTCTTATGTTATTTTCTCCGTTAAATGAATTGGTTGTCATCTTCCTTATTTGTAAATTGCTTTGTATAAAAATCATCTGCATCTGCTAAATTAATAAATATGTGTAAATCTATGGTTCATTCAAGTTATACAGTGTCACTAGTGCTCTAAAAATGTTTATTTGTTTTTATTGTCAGCATCAGCAGAAGGGAGAGATGGAAATCAGAATCTCCAGAACCCAGCTGTGTGTCCAATGGGCCAATGACCTCTGACCCTCCGTTAGTATAAATAGATATTTGCAATTTTACTGTAGAGCATCTCGCATGAATAATGACTTAAGACTCAATGGGCCTCATTCATGAAACATGAGCAGAACGATTTTTTGTGTAAATCGTTCACAAAGCCGTTCTGACGTAAACTTTCGAATTCATGAAAATGTTTGTTGGTACGAAAAGAAATGTACGCCTGCTCTTTATCAGGTGTAAATGGTACGTTAAACATTCTGTGCTCTCTTTGGCAAACTGATGACACTGAATTTTGATGCACTGCCATCATAATTACAAGTCCAATTGCCCTTGCCCTCTTTTTGAATTTTTTGTTTTGTTTTGTTTTGTTTTTTGAGTTGATAACTTTAAAAGGCAGCGCTTGTCACTGTCACTATTTACCCAGCCGTAAATAGAGGACGGGTGGGACAAATAGTGACCAACCATCCTGCTTGTACAACGACTGCCTACAACAATGGAGAAGTCAATATTGCTGGTTACTGCATTTTTATATTCAGTAATATTCTTCAAAATTAGATACTAGTAATACATTACTGCTGTGGATATTCCAAATCATAGCAACTAAAGCGTCTCAGCTGGAAAAACGCTGTGCCACCAAAGCGTTCAAGCGCCACCAACTGGTCATTTTAAGAAGAGTGCCTGACATTTTTTCAGCCGTCTAAAAACACTTTGGTGGACACACGTTATTGAATATTTATTGTTAGGCATGTGGCCTATTAGTCTTTTTTGCATTTATGCAATACACTGGAGCCAAACCTGAGAAAGTAGACCAGAATATTCCACTGCATTCCTGACACACAATTAATAGCTGTAATTCATAGGCACATGGGGATTATGCTAATCGTGAATGAGCATGCACGAGCGCCCCATTTACGAATGGTTGGAATTCATTAACATAAACGTTTAACTATCAAATCGGACATTTACGAAGCGTTTGCGAATCCGGAGGAGAGTTTTCGGGAAGGTCTGTTTTACACGCAAATTACTCTGAATTTACTCTTATATTTATGCAAGTTTCATGAATGAGGCCCATTGAAAAAAAACACAAAATTTATTCAAAATATGCAAAATATGAACGGCACAGTGTCTCAACCTCAAGAGAAGCACTAAAATCATACCTGGGTACTTGTATATTTCTGAAGATTGCTATTCTTTTCTTTTTAGTTTCAGAAAGAAGACACATGAGCTGATCAGATCTGTGCCATCCTGTTCATCTACGACCCACTTCAGGCAGGACAAAACTGAAGTAGTCCTGCAGAAACACACACTGGAGACTGGAGACCTGCAAAAACTCCTGCAGTCCAACAGAGAAGTGATTGTGAAACTTGCTGAAGTGGCTTTCAAACAGCTGATGAAGGGCAATGTGATGTTCTATGAGGAGGACCTGATTGAGAGCGGCATGGACCTCACTGACGCCTCAGTGTATTCTGGGATTTGCACTGAGATCTTTAAGCAGGAATCTGTGATTCATCAGAGGAAAGTCTACAGCTTCATTCATCTGAGCGTTCAGGAGTTTCTTGCTGCTTTCCATGTGTTTTACTGCTATTTAAGCACCATGGAGACACTTAAGGTTATTGTTTCGATGCATGATTTGCTTAAAGGAGCAGTAGATAAAGCCCTTGAGAGTGAGAATGGACGTCTGGATCTGTTCCTGCGGTTCCTGCTGGGCGTCTCACTGGAGTCCAATCAGAGACTCTTACAGGATCTACTGACACACACAGAGAACAGCTCAGAGACCATCAGGAGAACCACACACTACATTAAAGACAAGATCAAAGATGCACATGATAGTTATCATCTCTCAGCTGGTGAATCCATCAATCTGTTCCTCTGTCTGCTGGAAGTGAAAGATCAGACTCTGTCCAGAGAGATTCAGGAGTTTGTGAAATCAGACAAACACTCAGAGAAGAAACTCTCTCCTGCTCACTGCTCAACAATCTCCTACATGCTTCAGATGTCAGAGGAGCCGCTGGATGAGCTGAACACCATGAAATACAACACATCAGATGAGGGGAGAAGAAGACTGATACCAGCTGTGATCAACTGCAGAAAAGCCCTGTGAGTTATTAATCGTGTCTTAACGATTTCATTTTAATGTAAATAATTAAGCTGATATCATTAAAGTAGTTGAAGAATAAGATTAAGAATTTAGTTCTCATGTGTTTTACTCTCTTTCAGTCTTGTTGGCTGTAATCTCACTGGACAGCCCTGTGAAATTGTGTCTTCAGCTCTACAATCCTCAAACTCTGTTCTGAGAGAGCTGGATCTGAGTAACAATGACCTGCTGGATTCAGGAGTGAAGCTTCTTTCTGATGGACTGAAGAGTCCAAACTGTCAGCTGCAGATACTGAGGTTTGAAGATTTTATCTTTGATATACTGAATGCTCAGAAATAGATACATTTAACAGACTGTTCAAAGAAAGAATGACTATGGTGCCTTGCGAAAGTATTCATACCCCTTCATTTTTTTCCACATTTTATGTTGCTCCCTTATGCTAAATTGCTTTAAATTTCTTTTTGTTCACATCAATCTACACTCCATACACCATAATGATAAAACGAAAACAGAGTTGTCAACGTTTTTTATAAAAAAACTGAAATAAGTACATTGCGTAAGTATTCATACCCTTAACTCAGAACTTAGCTGAAACACCTTTACAGCCTCAAGTATTTTTGGGTATGATGCAACAAGCTTTGCTCATCATCATTTGGCAATTATCTGCCATTCTTCACCTCACCTCTTCGTCTCTCAAGCTCTGTCATGTTGGATGGGGGCAGACGCACATTTTCAGGTTTCTCCAGAAATAATTGATTAGGTTCAAGCTCATGCTCTGGCTGGGCCACTCAAGGACATTCACAGAGTCGTCTATAAGCCACTCTTGCTGTGAGCTTAGGGTCATTGTCCTGTTGGAAGGTGAACCTTCTGCCCAGTCTGATCTTCTGAATGCTCTGGACTGGGCAAAACATGCGCAAAATATGATCGTGGTTTTGCGCAGCTTGTCAGTGAACAACGGCTCTGTGTAGTAAGTGCTGCTCCACATGAAAGCCCGCAGGTGATGGAGATTTACCGCTGATTACAGAACCGGCTTTACTGACAAGATGCACGTTAAATATCGCATGCGATTTATCGTGCAGCCCTACTCTGGACTGGGTTTTCATTAGGGCTATCTCAATATTTTGGTGCATTGAGCTTATCTTCTACTCTGACGAGTCCCTCAGTCCCTGCTGCTGAAAAACAGCCCCACAGCATGAGGCTGCTACCAGCACACTTTACTTTTGGGATGGTACTCTGCAGGTGATGAGCGGTGCCTGGTTTCCTTCAAACATGATGCTTAGAATTGAGGTTCATCAGACTGGAGACTCTTGTTTCTCACAGTCTGAGGATCCTTTAGGTGCTTGTTTAGCTAATTCCAAGTGTGTTTTCATGTGTCTTTACTGAAGAGAGGATTGAGTTTGGCCACACCAGCATTAAAGCTCAGATCGGTGGAGTGTTGCAGCGATGTTTGTCCTTCTGTAGGTTTCTCCTGTCACATATGATCATGGAGCTCAACTAGAGTGACCATCAGCTTTTTGGTCACCAGTCTAACCAAAGCCCTTCTCCATCAGTTGCTCAGTTTGGCCAGGAGGCCAGCTCTAGGAAGAGTCCTGGTTGTTTCAACTTCTTCCATTAAGGATAATAGAGAATACATGCTTCTGTGACCCTTCAATGCAGCAGAATTTTTTCTGAACTCTTCCCCAGATGTGTGCCTTGACACAATCATGTTTCTGAGCTCTACAGGGAGTTTTTTTTTTATTTTTTATTTTTTACCTCAAGCCCCATTCACACTACAAGCGACACGCAAGAGCAAAGCGACACAATCCCATTCATTTCAGTGGAGAGCTGGTGATTTCCGGCGACACGAGCGACAGCAGCCGTTGGCGACCAGATGGGGCGTGTCCAGCGATGCGACAAAGTTCAGAATCCTTCAACTTTATGCAAATGAAGAGTGACTTTCAGGAGCGACAACCAATAGGAAAGAAGACGAGCCTCAAGTATTTTTGGGTATGATGCAACAAGCTTTGCTCATCATCATTTGGCAATTATCTGCCATTCTTCACCTCACCTCTTCGTCTCTCAAGCTCTGTCATGTTGGATGGGGGCAGACGCACATTTTCAGGTTTCTCCAGAAATAATTGATTAGGTTCAAGCTCATGCTCTGGCTGGGCCACTCAAGGACATTCACAGAGTCGTCTATAAGCCACTCTTGCTGTGAGCTTAGGGTCATTGTCCTGTTGGAAGGTGAACCTTCTGCCCAGTCTGATCTTCTGAATGCTCTGGACTGGGCAAAACATGCGCAAAATATGATCGTGGTTTTGCGCAGCTTGTCAGTGAACAACGGCTCTGTGTAGTAAGTGCTGCTCCACATGAAAGCCCGCAGGTGATGGAGATTTACCGCTGATTACAGAACCGGCTTTACTGACAAGATGCACGTTAAATATCGCATGCGATTTATCGTGCAGCCCTACTCTGGACTGGGTTTTCATTAGGGCTATCTCAATATTTTGGTGCATTGAGCTTATCTTCTACTCTGACGAGTCCCTCAGTCCCTGCTGCTGAAAAACAGCCCCACAGCATGAGGCTGCTACCAGCACACTTTACTTTTGGGATGGTACTCTGCAGGTGATGAGCGGTGCCTGGTTTCCTTCAAACATGATGCTTAGAATTGAGGTTCATCAGACTGGAGACTCTTGTTTCTCACAGTCTGAGGATCCTTTAGGTGCTTGTTTAGCTAATTCCAAGTGTGTTTTCATGTGTCTTTACTGAGGAGAGGATTGAGTTTGGCCACACCAGCATTAAAGCTCAGATCGGTGGAGTGTTGCAGCGATGTTTGTCCTTCTGTAGGTTTCTCCTGTCACATATGATCATGGAGCTCAACTAGAGTGACCATCAGCTTTTTGGTCACCAGTCTAACCAAAGCCCTTCTCCATCAGTTGCTCAGTTTGGCCAGGAGGCCAGCTCTAGGAAGAGTCCTGGTTGTTTCAACTTCTTCCATTAAGGATAATAGAGAATACATGCTTCTGTGACCCTTCAATGCAGCAGAATTTTTTCTGAACTCTTCCCCAGATGTGTGCCTTGACACAATCATGTTTCTGAGCTCTACAGGGAGTTTTTTTTTTATTTTTTATTTTTTACCTCAAGCCCCATTCACACTACAAGCGACACGCAAGAGCAAAGCGACACAATCCCATTCATTTCAGTGGAGAGCTGGTGATTTCCGGCGACACGAGCGACAGCAGCCGTTGGCGACCAGATGGGGCGTGTCCAGCGATGCGACAAAGTTCAGAATCCTTCAACTTTATGCAAATGAAGAGTGACTTTCGGGAGTGACAGCCAATAGGAAAGAAGACGGTAGAGCTCATGTGATCGTTCTCCTCTCAGCGCCGTAGATAAACATATGCAATGGAAAAAAGTAGGCTCCATTTCTCATTAATTTTTGTTTGTATGTACGGATTTATTTTAGATTTAGATTATATTTAGTGTTTTTGCCTCCAAAATGTTTGTACTTGGGGGCAAGAAACCTGATTCGCTGTCAAGGCAACCAGTATTGAGAATGCCCAATAGCAACCTCATCGCCAGCCCCTGGCGACATGCAGCGACAAAAGTTGCTGCTAGTGTGAATGGGGCTTCAGGACTTGGTTTTTGCTCTGATATACATTTTCAGCTGTTAGACCTTTTATTAAGACGTGTGTGCCTTTCCAGATCATACCCATTTTATTTAATTTGCCACAGAATTTGTTAACTAATGAACCTTATTGTAAAGTGTTAACAAAATTATTAGCATAAAAAATAAAAAAAACATGCTCATTCAAGCCCGTAATTCTGATTCTTAATTTCATAATGTACAGATCCTTTTGACCTTTCTTGGGAGCCCATGTTATGAAATCTTAAATCTTAAATATGAATTTTAATTAACACCGTTAGTGCCTAAGCAAACTTCCATGTTAAAATTCATAACATTCACTATAAATACACTGCTGCAAGAACATCTCTCTGAAACAATGATAATTAATAACCAGCACTGTTGTAATGACTGGCAGACACCAGGGGTACCATTTAGATTTAGTGGCACATTAACGGATCAGCAAGAGTAGTTTTTCTTATTTTAGCACTATAATGTGTTAATGTCTTATTTAATCTCCTGTTTGGTAGATTATCTGACGTTTGTGTGTATGTGTGTGTTGGATCCATCTGTAGGTTGTCTGGCTGTATGATGTCAGAGGAAGGCTGTGGTTATTTGTCTTCAGCTCTGAGTTCAAACCCCTCACACCTGAGAGAGCTGGATCTGAGCTACAATCACCCGGGAGATTCAGGAGTCAAGCTGCTCTCTGAAAAACGGGAGGATCCAAACTATAAACTGCTGATACTCAAGTATGTTTGACAGTATCAGGGTTTTAATCAAGATCAATAATACTGCTAATCTCAGTTGGGTGATGTAAGTTGCATTAGAAGATGATATGTATACACATACTAGGGGTGTAAGCCGAATACATTATTTGGAAAGGCACGGATAATGGCTTCAAAAACGAATAACGGATAACGAATAATTCTGCCCGAATATTCGGCTGAGGCTGGCACACTCTGGTGTTTGCTAGATAAAAGGTGAGCCAGGGGATCAGCGCGATATTTTAAACAAACCTCTAAAGTCACGCAATAATGAGTGTGTTAAGTGAATGAATGTATAAACTTTAAGTCAAGTCAAGTCAAGTCACCTTTATTTATATAGCGCGTTTAACAATACAGATTGTGTCAAAGCAACTGTACAGCATTAATTGGATGTTTAATAGGGAGCCAGTGCAGTGTTGACAGAACCGGGCTAATATGGTCATACTGGTTCTAGTAAGAACTCTAGCTGCTGCATTTTGGACCAGCTGGAGTTTGTTTATTAAGCGTGCAGAACAACCACCCAATAAAGCATTACAATAATCTAACCTTGAGGTCAGAAACGCATGGATTAACATTTCTGCATTTGACATTGAGAGCATAGGTCGTAATTTAGATATATTTTTGAGATGGAAAAATGC